TTTTTTTATCATAATTTTAGGGGGGGACAGTAAACCCTCACTGGGGTTGGGGAGTGGGTGTGATGGCAGTGGAGAGGGGCGGTGGGGAGGTGGGGGGGCGTGCGGCCGGGCCGGTTCTCCACCCCTCCCCTCCGTTGGTCTGTCCTTGCTGAGTCACCTGCTCCCGCATGATGAGAATTCGGAAGGTTGAAGGTGTCCCGTCGAAGATGTTCTACTAAATTTAATTCCTATTTTATATGCAATGTTCCGCAACATGAGGTATAATTTGACATCTCTTAAAGAACAGTCTGATTTCCCAAATGTAGCCTGGGTGGCTGCTTCAGTGTCACATTAGCTTCCTGTTGAATAAAGATTTCGAGCGTGGAGTGCCAAGAAGCGGTAGGGACACGGGTCCCTTTTCCAGGACACCGGTGACCCGAGCCGCGGATTCGCAGTGCAGCTTGAATCTCCCCAAAGGCGAGCAGTCAGACAGCTAAGCTTGGGAGCCCCTTCCCTGGCCGGTTGCAAGGGCAGACCTCCCCTCCCGCTGCTCCCACGTCTGGTCGGGGCCGGAGGGCTGGCCTGGCCTGCTGGTGCTCTCACGTTGGATTCCATTTCTGTGATTCGGAGGGAGGGGCGAGCGTGTGGACACGGCTGCTCCCTGGAGTCAGCGGGCCAGCTGTCCCCGAGGGGGATCAAGTGACTGCAGCCCCTGAAGCCGGTGTTCGGAAAGTTTCCTTATCCCCCCCCCCCCCGCCCCCCACCTCTCGCTGGAGCTGTGGGTGCCCTCGGTGGCCGAGCAGCTGGTCAGGAGGCCGTGACCTCTGGCGGGCCTCGTGCTTGGGCTCCAGGAGATGCCTGCCTATACGGTGACATGGATTTCTGGGCTCAGCCAAATACATTTTTCTCTTTCTGTCTGTCTGTCTGTCCTTTTTTTTTTTAAATAGAGCAATGAGTTAGAAATGAGCTGTTCAATTCAACTGTTTTTTTTTTTGCCTTCTCTTAAATTATTATTTTTTTAAAATGTGATAGAAAAAAAAATTTTTTTTTTCTTCTGGGCAAATTCTTAGGATTTAATTGCACTTAAAATTACGGAGCCTGTCAGAGCAAATTGCAGCTAGCATAGTTTTACCCGAGGAAACCAGTCCTGTGATTGTCACCACCGCCAGGCTTCTGCGAGAAAAGTTGTGGGAAGGACGATTTAAGTCTGCACGGTGAACCACACCTCAAATCAGTATTCAGCACCCAGCTCCTCGCGCTGAAAGGCAGGCCCAGGTTAGCAGCCATGATGTTGGAGGAACCAGGCTGGGATTCTTAAGGGAATACAGAATTCCCCTCCTGGAGGAAGAAGGAGAGGTGTCTACCCCACTGGTTTTTAAGTTAAAGCGGTGTGAGTTAATCTGTAATTTCCCGCCCCCCCCCCCCCCAAAAAAGAGCAGTCAGATGACTTATTAAAAATAGGAGAGCAGATGGGGCGCCTGGGTGGCGCAGTCGGTTGGGCGTCCGACTTCAGCCGGGTCACGATCTCGCGATCTCGCGGGATCTCGTGATCTCGCGGTCCGTGAGTTCGAGCCCCGCGTCGGGCTCTGGGCTGATGGCTCAGAGCCTGGAGCCTGTTTCCGATTCTGTGTCTCCCTCTCTCTCTCTGCCCCTCCCCCGTTCATGCTCTGTCTCTCTCTGTCCCCAAAATAAATAAATGTTGAAAAAAAAATTAAAAAAAAAATAGGAGAGCAGAAACAGTATTACCAGCTTCATGTAAAGTTGGATCTGCTCGTGGCTCAGTGGGCTCCTGCTGATTCCCGGGGAGCAAACAGAATCGCTGCGCATCACATATGAGCACAGCCTTTTCTTTGACCTTGAGATAAGGGACCACCCTCGGGGTCTGCAAAGCTCACGTGTCCTCTCCCTCCCCCGAAACACTTCCTTCTTTCCTCCATTTTTTTTAAACATGGAGTTTTAAGATTTGATTGGTTGGTTGATTGATTTTAAATTTTATTTTATTTATTTATTTAAAAAAAAATTTTTTTTTCGACGTTTATTTATTTTTTGGGGACAGAGAGAGACAGAGCATGAACGGGGAAGGGGCAGAGAGAGAGGGAGACACAGAACCGGAAACAGGCTCCAGGCTCCGAGCCATCAGCCCAGAGCCTGACGCGGGGCTGGAACTCACGGACCGTGAGATCGTGACCTGGCTGAAGTCGGACGCTTAACCGACTGCGCCACCCAGGCGCCCCTTAAATTTTATTTTAATTCCAGTGTTGTTAACATTCAGTGTTATATTAGGTCTTCCTTCCTCCACTTTCGATGAGTGAGCGTCTAGTGCTGAACAGATTTAATCTTGTGAAAGGCAGAACTTTCTGGAAGATACAAATTCACCTGACTTCGATCAGATAAAAGATAAGGTGAGACCGGACTTTGGTCTCTGGGGACAAGAGAGGACATAGTTTATATTTTTCCTTCCTTCCTTCCTTCCTTCCTTCCTTCCTTCCTTCCTTCCTTCCTCAGCACTCACACTGACCAATAATAAATCTCAACCAGATGATTATGTTTGGATTAATTAATTTTGCTTCAGAGAGAGAATGAGAGCAGGTGGGGGAGGGGCAGAGGGAGAGAGAGAATCCCAAGCAGGCTCCACGCTCAGCACAGAGCTCGATGAGGGGCTCGATCCCATGACCCTGGGATCGTGACCTAAACCCAGATTAAGTGTCGGACGCTCAACAGACTGAGCCGCCCACCTCAATCAAGCCACCGTTGAATCTGTGAAGGATGGGATGTTGTCTCTCTGTCACTTGGAGTCATTTTTAAGTGGACTGTATTGCGTCCATCAATCATTAATATAGAATTCATCTGTATTTTTTATGTAGGTCCCTATAGTTCAGCGTGGGTGAGGAAGAGCGCCCACCTTATGTGAAAAGTGCGGACTTGTTTCTGCCCTCTGCCATCGTGGTGAAGGTTTGTTGAGCAACGGACCGCTTCCCTAAGGAGCAGGGTGCTCGCCGAGAACCTACGAAGAGCATGGGCGTGGAGGCTGACCGCCTCGGGTCCAGCCCCGGGATTCAGCTTGGAGCTGGGATGCGCAGGTCACTGGGCGCCTGCACCTGTGTTCCCTCATCTGCAGTGGCTGTGGGCATCAGCGTCCTCATCCGAGCTGTTGTAGGGACGAACCCGCGGACCCAGGTAAGGTCCTTCGCGCGGCGCCTGACACGTCGTAGAGGGTGTGATGTTGTGATCAGTCGTTTTGGAGAAGACAGGATTTTACAAAAACAAAATTAGAAACGCTGAGGACTCTGGATATTTGTCTTGAAAGTGATGTGTACTTTGCTCTACTGCCATATTAAGAATATTAGCCTGGGGGCGCCTTGGGGGGCTCAGTCGGTTGAGTGTCTGACTTGGGCTCAGGTCGTGATCTCGCGGTGCGTGGGTTCGAGCCCCACGTGGGGCTCTGTGCTGACGGCTCGGAGCCTGGAGCCTGTTTTGGATTCTGTGTCTCCCTCTCTCTCTACCCCTCCCCTGCACATGCTCTGTCTCTCTCTCTCTCTCTCTCTTTAAAGTGAATAAAATGTTTAAAAAATTAGAAAAAATCTTTTAAGAATATTAGCCTGTTATCTGTCATTCATGTGATTACGTACAACCTCAACATGTGAGTCCTGATGACGTTTAAACGTCTGTTGCCCGTGAACGCCGTGGGGTCACTAGTACGTGTGTGCTCGGAGTGCATACGCCTCAGGCGTTCTGCAGGCTGTTGGGTGGCAACAGTAGGGCTGGTATCAGCCTCGTGTCCCTACAGCTAACGTGAGCCGCGACACGACCACATACACCGCCAGTGAAGTCGGAAGGCTGTGTGCGCGAATGGGCCTCTCCGTTGGGTCCCTGCTGCGGCCACTGTGTACTCCACAGCAGAAAATGGGGACCTCAGAGGCTTGTTCTCCTCTGGCGCCATTGGGGATGTGGGAGGAAGGCTTCCTTCCTCTTCTTCCTGGCAGAAAGGGGCATCCAGGGCCCCCGAGCTGGCCAGTCCCGCTGCTGCACCTGGCAGGCGGAGTGCCGGGGTCAGGCTGGTCCCTTGCACCGGAAGGCACGAGCGAGGTGTGAGGGAAAGGACCAGAGACGACCTCGTCCAGGGGCCTCGGGCACGCCTCAGAAGCTTCTAAGGCTCCCGTTCCTTCTGTTGTGTGAAGGCTAGCTGATGTCACCAAGATGAGCTGCAGGGACCTGCCCTCCCTCTTCACAGGCAGGGCGGGTGACAGACGTCACTTGGTGTCATAAGAGCACGTCCCAGCTGAGAAGGAGGCAATCGCTTTCTGGAGCGGTTTTCTTTTATAAATGCCTCCAGCTTTTACAAAATGCAGCAGGACCTCCGATGTCAGTCGGTGATCATGTGAGCAGGCGCGTTTTGTCCAGTCCTGCCTTTCACAGATCTGTGTTTCTGGGTGTGTGGTTTTTCACAAATAGCTTCTCCCACCGTGCAGCTCCGTTCAGAGAAAGGGAAAGCCGGGTTACACCCTGAGTTGTTGCCCCACATAAAGGCCCTTCCAACTTATATTAAATAACGGCAAGAGAGAAAAAAAAAGACAGAGGATTCCCTACCCAATTCAGTCTGGAAAACAGAGCTAGACCATATAGTGAATGTGGTGGGTCTTTATTTGTTGAGCTTCGAATAGGCTCAGTATTAAAATATCTTGGGGCGCCTGGGTGGCTCAGTCGGTTAGGCGTCCGACTTCAGCTCAGGTCACGATCTCGTGGTTTGTGAGTTCGAGCTCTGCATCGGGCTCTGTGCTGACAGCTCGGAGCCTGGAGCCTGCTCCGGATTCTGTGTCTCCCTCTCTCTCCGCCCCTCCCCTGCTCATGCTCATGCTCTGTCTCTGTCTCAAAAATAAATAAATACATTAAAAGAATAAAAAAATAATAAAAAAAAATACAATCTCTTATCCCTACTATTTTAGAAAGTGCACACAGTATACTCCTATAGTATGCCATTGATTTACTTTCAGACTGTAAAATTAGGTTCAAATCTGTCCACTAAAAACCTTTCTGATGACCGACTTAAGGTAACCTGGTGAAAAATAGTGGTGATTCAGTCCGCAGAGGTAAACCGGCTTGCGTAAAATACTGTTAATGATCAGCTGTTTGGTCTTGTCCTGGTATCCTTGAACGCTGGTTCGCTGTCTGATTTCATTCAACCTTTAAAACTGGTTTGTGGTGGGTACACATGTGAGTCTTGTTTATGAAAAGACAGCATTTTCGGTTGGGGCTCCGAGTAGGGATTGTGGAATAATACATCGTTACAGAATGCATTTTTAAAACGGCTTATAGATTTTTTTTTTTTTTTTTCCCTCCTGGAGAGAACCTCGTGCTGGCATCTTGCACGGGGCTGTGAGCGTCCTCGATTCCTTCGTCTCGAAGCCAAAGGGACTGAAGCGATAATATCTTCGTTACCTGCTGACTCTCCCCGACGCCGCTCGGAAGGCTTCCCCTGCCGACTCCCTGGTTCCCACTATCAGTCTGGAGAGTTGGGTGCCCTTGTCATGTCCATCTTATCGGTGAGGGGACCTCCGCCCCGTGAGGCCAGATACCTCATCCGAGGTCCAGGGGGGACCCCATCAGAGTTCAGGAATGTGTGTGCTCGGTGATGGTATGGCACTGCTTGTCAGGACTGAAGAGTCTGGGAGTCCTTCATCTCCTGGGACAGCCTGTAGTGTTGCAGACTATGCAATAATAAACACGAACGGGGGTAGATTAGGACTATTGGGCTGATTTCACAATGGCAGGTGTTTTGAACTTCTGCTTGAAATACTTGTCCGTAGCAGGCGGCCTGTTCCTGCGGTGGGATTTAGGAACACTTGCCCAGTTTGGACACCGTCCCTGCGTGATGATCAGAGGACGTTTCCGAATTGAATTCGTCCTGTGGAAATTTAAGAAAGAGCTAATGTTATAATTATAGTACGGACTCTACGTACAATGCAAACTGTTAGCTTAATAGTGAAGAGGGGAGAGCTAAAAATACAGTTTTATTTTACTTTATGAAATTAAAATTTTAAATGTTTATTCATTTTTGAGAGAGAGAGAGAGAGAAAGAGAGAGAGGCAGAGAGAGAGGGAGACACAGAATCCGAAGCAGGCTGAGCTGTCAGCACAGAGCCCGATGCGGGGCTTGAACCCACAAACCACAAGATCATGATCTGAGCCAAAATCGGATGCTTAACCGACTGAGCCACCCAAGCGCCCCCAAATATTTTTAAATTTAAAGTTTATTTATTTATTTTGAGAGTGAATGTGCATGGGGGAGGGCAGAGGGAGAGGGAGAGAGAGAGAGAGAGAGAGAGAGAGAGAGAGAGAGAGAATCCTAAGCACTGATATGGGGCTCGATCTCACAAACCGTGGGATCATGACCTGAGCTGAAATCAAGAGTCAGACGCTTAACCGACAGAGCCACCCAGGTGCCCCTGGATCATATGGTATTTCTGTTTTTAATTTTTTGAGAAAGCTCCGTACTGTTTTCTGCAGTGGCTGTGATCTTTGACCAAGGAGGCAGGAATAGCCAGTGGGAAAAAGACAGTCTCTTCGATAAATTATCCTGCGAAAACTGAACAGCCACATGCGAGAGAATGAAACCAGACCACTTTCTTACACCGTACACAAAATTAACTCTAAGTGGATTAAAGACCTAAATGTGAGGCCTGAAACCGTAAAATGTATAGAAGAGAGCCCAGGCAGTAATCTGACATGGACCATAGCAACACTTTTCTAGATATGTCTCCTAAAAACATGATTTTCATTAAAAAAAATCATTCTGTGTATTGAGCGTCTCTCCCGAGCCGGCGCCTTCTCTCGGGAGCTCCCGGACTGGTCTGGCAGGAGAGAGACCCACAGGCGGAGAGGACAGAAGCATCCTGGATGGACACGAAGAGGCTTGCCAATGTAAAAGGGATATCACGGAGGTCTAAAAAGCAAATGTTTTCCAAGTACAGTCTCCGATCCTCAAGAATACCAGTAGTTTCAAAAGTAACTGTTAAACGTCAACTAGGGGAATACTAGTGCAGGGGAGTGGCGCTTAATGAAACGTTGATTGGTGACTGCATTCTTTCGAAACCGGAATGGCTCCCAAGGGCTTCATTGCACAACCCGGGACCCAGGCAGACCAACAGACCGTTCAGTGACTAGCAGGGTACTGCATTTCCGACATCTGTGTATCTCAGCACGTTTGATTTATTGGGTAAGTGAGTCACGGATGATCAAATGTCCTTGAAGGGACCCCACCCCCCATTCCTCTGCACTGGAGGATCCCAGGAGTTTGTGAGGGTGGAGGGCGAAGGCTCAGTGATGTTTAGAGTCTGGGTCGGTCTCATTAGGGGACCAAATGTGTCTGTGCTTGTTTCGAAGCAGAAGAAACACACTTTTAGAGGAAGGAGAGAAACCCAGCTGTAATCCTGCCCACTGGAGCCCATGGCATAACTTCCAGATGGTGATATTCAGATTCTTTTGATATTCCTCCAGCTAGGAATATGAAATACGTACGAGAAAAAAAAAAAAAAAAAAAAAACACAACACCCAAACTTATGCCCTGGAAAACACGATAAGCGTGTCCTAACTCCTGACAATCTCTGGCCTGTATTTAATGAGATGGTCACCTTCTGCTGTGAACGTGGTGAAGTCAACTGTGGGTGATATTAAAGTATAAACCTCCTGCGGTCACTCGTGGATCTATGATTTCATCTGCCGGCTGGCTCAGCATTGCTATGCCCCGAAGAAGTTCTGGGGGGTTGTAGATGCTCGGAAATACTGATGACCCAGTGTCCTCACGGTTGCCAGGGGCAAACGTAAAGTGGAAGGCATCCGATGAAGTGCCTTTGGGGCAATAATTGAAAATACACCATTGAGCGCTTCACGGTGGCGTTTGATGGTGCAATCTTCTCGAACCTTTGCCTGGTTCTCAAACAACTGAAGAAGAATAAGGAAGCCCAGGGGAGGAATAAACAAGAGGGAGACAGAATGGTGGAGAAGTCCAGTAGGGGTGGAGACCGCGGGGGGGTGGGGAGCCTGAAAACGAATTGGAAAGTGGGCTCGCTGGCGAGCACAAGCAGCATCCGTATTTCAGGAGTAATTGTCGAGAGTTAATTTTGAGAGGGAAGGAGGATTTTCCTTCACTTTTTTACACAAGACGGCTCTCCATCATGGACTGTTGTAGCAACGAAAGAATCTGTTTGGCGCTTGGCTGAAAACTCAAAGGCAAAAAAAAACAAAACAAAAAAAAAAAAAAGCAAAGTCCCCCTAAGGATGTCAGCCCCAGACTACAGGAGTCCGTTGGAAACATCTTAGTTTTAAGAAGGTGGCAGAATTACATAATTATTCACAACTCATAGGAAATTAAAATACCTCTTCCAAATATGAAGTTGTAAGATAACACAAACCACAAATTCTAGACTTGCGGACTGTGTGCATCTTTAACTCTCCCACACAGAAACCCACAGCAAAATGTCTGGGCTGAGAACACATGACTGCGTGTCCCTTATGTCCCTGGGAACCTCGCGCAGGAGGAGGCCTCTGGGAGCGGCTCCTTCCAGCCCCGACTCGGAGGAGTTGGGTCAGCCGCGATGCTGTGGAGAAGCAGGTGGCCCCCACGAGGTGCCGGGGACCACAGACGCACCTTCTCTCCCCCTCACAGCAAAGCTGCGCGAGGTGAGGAATGACCGAGAAGGTTCTGGAACAAAGGGGCAGCCAGATGGGAGGAACATGGGGAATATGGAGAAACGGTCCAGTGGGCCCAGGCAGTGTGGGATTCCGGGCCGGAGACCGTGCACGTTCCTCCCGTTTGGGAATATCTTTGGAAAATCACAGCATTTCATTCAACCAGACTTATTTTGAAAGCAAGTGAGTGTTACCTGTTAAAAATCCAAGGGAGTTGTTTTGGTCTATACAGTAAGCATCTCTCAGTCCCGTTTTCAGGGCCTAACCTGCTCCCCACCCTGCACAAGGCCCTGGGGGTTCTCAAGCAGAGAGGGCGGCTTCCTGCCCACAGGGTATTCATCACGAGTAGGGCAGCTGAGCGCGTGAACCTGGTCGGTACGGTGCACAGTGCCAAGGAGGAGAGGAAATGCAGGTGGGGTGGGCGCCCTGGAGCAGGAGGTGGTGAGCCCCAGAGCAGGAGTGGGCGTGAGCCCAGGGCTTGAGGAAGCATCCTGAGAAGGGATGGGTGCATTCGGCGGGGGAGTGATCGAGGGTGCAAGGCTGCGGAGGTTGGGGGGGACCTCGTGACCTGGGGGGCTTTGTGTGCCACGTCGAGCTGGCGCTGGCCGCGGGGAGGGGCGAGGACCCAGGATGCCTCCTAGGCTCCCCTCTGGGAGCCACAGGTGCCTGGCAGCTCAGGGTGGGTCCTGCCTACTGGGGAGGGAGGGATGGGCACTCGGGAGCAAGCGCGGGCGGGAGCGGAGTCTGTGGAACTCTCTCCATCGGGAGGACCTGGGAGCCACTGCCGAAGCCGTTGGTTGGAAACACGAACTTACTGCCTTGGGCAGAGTGAGTCGGGGTGCAGGGGGTAGGTCTCCAGGGCAGAGCTGTGACTTACGCATCTCGGGGTCCACTGTAGTGCACACAGTCGGGGCCCAGTCAATATATTTTAACTGGAAATACTTGCCCCTGTTTCTAGAGACCATCATAGGCAATGCTCTTTCCGCAAACTTCTCTTACTGAATTTTTATAAAAGCGCATCATCTTGACAGAGGAAACAGGCTTAGGAACATGACACAGGATGTGCCCCAGGTCTGTCCGGTTTGTGTCTTCTCCATTTTCCTAGCTGTTCTTTGCCGAGTCACCCCCCCCCCCCCCCACCCCCCAACGAGTAGTATCTTTGAACCGCACGTTAGCCGCCTAGACGCTAAATTCAAGGAATGATTAATGCCGCGTTCTACTGCGTACCTACCATCTACCAAAGTACATGGACGGTGTGTGGCTGTTGCCCTTTGGGAACTCATGGTCTAGTTTCTTGGCTTAAGGTGGTGGAAATGGGACGTGATTGACTTCTCAGAAGAAGTGAGACCCACAGAAGGGTTGGGGGCCGAGCAGCCTCAGTGGTCCTCTGTTTGGAAACCCTGTGGCAGGACCCCCACTGCCAGGAGCCCAGGAGAGCCGTCTCCGGTAGCGCGCCCCCTCCCCCCCACCCCCCATGCAGAGTTCGCTAGCCTCGCCCGCCCGGAACTGACAGCGAAGGGGTTAAAATAACAAATAAATGACTTTATTTAGACTTGAGCATTTCTGGCAGTTTTTCTGGATTTTTTTTTTTCCCCGCAGTATTTGATGTGACAGCTTTTGTTTGCTTGCGCTTGTCTCTTTCGAATTTCTCATATCAGCGGTAAAAGCTATTTCTTTTTCCTGTAACATCTTGAGCTTGGTATCCAATGAAGGGAGAAATTGCTCTTACATTACTTGAAATTATAATATTATACCTAATTTTGGGGGGAGAAAAATTAGAGTAATTTAGATCTCCAGGCACTGAGGATTTTGCAGACAGGTCATTTGCAGCACTGTTGCTGATTATTCATCCATAAAAGTGTTTTTACCGCGGGGGAGGCTCCATCATTTCTGGTGTTCTTTAGAAACGCTGATTTTCGAGGCCCATCCAGGCAGGAGAAGGACGGTCATCATCCATCTCGAGCCAATGGTCTGGCTTTGATGGGGCTCGGGCCGGGGAGCCGCCGGGTCTATCAGCGGGATAATTTGTTTGAGTGGCTAATGAGAAATCTTAAGTGACATGTCTCAGGGGTGGGGAGAGGATGAAGTGCAGAGGGGCCGGTCCCCGGATCTGCGTGGCTGCCAGCCGGTGTCTCCTAAACTTTTCTGTGTATATGGCGGAAAGCACAGCCCCCCCCCCCCCCCTGCAAAGAAGGACACGGAGGAGCCACATGCCAGTGGGATTCTGTAATGTGGGCTGCGGTGTAAACAGTGGTACAGTTGAACTGGGGGCTGTTTGCGAAAAACCCGTAAGTAATTAAGCGCTCCCTCCAGCAAGGTAAGAGCCGAGGCCGAAGTATATTAGTACAAAGAAGGAAAGGAAGAAAGAAAGAAAGAAAGAAAGAAAGAAAGAAAGAAAGAAAGAAAGAAAGAAA